GTGTGTGAATACTTAAAACCTTAAATTATCTCCACATAACTACTAATTATCCTCTTGTTTACCTTCAAAAATACCTGTCATTTCACAGTAAAGAGGCATTTTAGCACTACATAAGAAAATAAATATGAAAACAAATTGAATGAACATCAAAATGCCACAAACAGGAAGTTCAGGCTAGCGGGATAAATTTTTTTAATGAAAATATCCAGGCCTGGTAATTCATTTAGTATACACATAAAATGAGATTACAGGGCCTATTAGCACATGATACACCTACATCGCAAAATGTGACCCAAAACTTGATTTCTTTCAAGTACTGCATATACCACATTCTCCTAAGTAAAGTAGCATGTATACCTATGGCAGGGAAGATACTCGAAAATGAGTCCAGTACCTAAATCCATGTCCAAATCTGACATGACATTGGAAACGCCAAACCCTTTCAATAATTAAAAGAAGAGGAGCCCCAGCCATGTTGGCTTCAAAATTCTAAAATGTGCACGTCGGACAAATTCAACCTAACTAAACATAAAAATAATTAAAAAACATCCGACATAGATCAAACAGTTTTATACAATCTATGCACCTGTCAGACATGGGATATGACCAGTATTAGGCCTAAAACCAGATAGGAGTTTCAATTTGTATATGGTGATTCTTAGGCAATGCCATGTCAACTATATTAAGATTTTGGAGATAATGGTCCACAAAACTTAAGATATTTGAAGTAGGTCCACCAAAAGTCTTTATTATGATAAAGTTCCCCCAAATCTCTTTGGTTACATCAAAGTGATCCATGTAGTTTAAACCTGTTAATTTAAGCCCCAAAAGAACTAACAGCGGTTAGCTTCTTTAGTTCACGTTATACTTCTCAACTCACCCTCTAACCGTAATATTCAAGTGTCTCTTACCAAAACCGAACACAAGCTCACACTTCTTCATCAAAAAGCATAAGATCATCAGATAAAAAAAAGTGAGTTCTCAGCAGATTTCGGGATATTATTGTGAGGATGTATTGAAGAAGAAGAGGACAAAATGAGAAACTAAAGAAACTATCATTAGGTTTTCTGGGGTTTACAGATTTAGAACTACAGAGATCTATTTGGTGTAGCAAGAAAGATTTGGGGGCTTTTTCACAAATAATGAGTTTTCAGGAACCTATTTCAAATGACATAAGTTCAGGGCGACGACCAATGCCTCCAAAACCTAAATTGTTAATCTCACTCAGACATATAGGAAGTACTTCACAAACATGCTACTAATGTATTATTAAACAGAAATGACAACTGGTGTATGGAACGATAATGATGATAAGACCACTACAGTAATATTTTCTAAACTAAAACTAAGATTATAACGGGATTTTCATCTCCATTATTTTCTGAGTCATCATCTTGTGATGAGTATCTATCTATGTATATATATGAGGAACTTGGCACTTACAAGCAATATACATCCTACAAGCAAAACCTCAAGCTAAGTTCAACCAAATTCAATCAAGATATATCATTCCACTTTCCTCCAAAATATTCCATAAGTGCAGCACAAATCTTGAGGATGCTTGAGCAAATGGCTATGCATCAATTGAGTCAAAATCCAGTAGAATTCTTCCTTAAAAACGAAGTATCCTCCTTTTTCAGGAAGAGTATGCATCCTACAAACCTCAAGCTTTCATCCAAAGTTCAACCAAATTCAATCAAGATATATCATTCCACTTTCCTCCAAGGTATTCCAAAGTGCAGCATAAATCCTAAGGATGCTTGAGCAAATGGATACCCATAAATTGAGTCAAAATCCAGTAGAATTCTTCCTTAAAAACGAGGTATCCTCCTTTAACCAGAGTTGAATTGTAACTGAGAAGAAAGTAAAAGGTGCATTTGTAATACACACACACACACACACACACACACACACACACAAACAATCAAATTTAAATATAAAGCTAGCTTAGAAATTGACCATCTTCCTGCCTACTGTCTATTTCTCCATTCATATGCTAAAGTTGCAAGATAAAGTATCATGTTTCAGGAAGTCCATCCCTTCAAGACTTGGTAGGAAATAATAATACGAAAGAGGGATTATCTAGAGAGCATTGACACGACTGCTCCTGTCTTAGTAACTATATGTACTTATAGCCAATCCATCTAGTCACAAACAGAATCAAGTAGCTGAAACTAACCAAAGTCAATAGTATTACCATTATGAAATTCAAAGTAGCTGAAACTGCCAAAATGAAATTCAAAGTTGCAACGAAAGCCAACATCCCAAGCTAGTAAAAAATATTAGTTTTGAAATAGAATCAGATAGTATGACAAGTTTTCTTATCATTGAATCTAGAACATACATGAGCTAACCCTTTCTGATTGAGAATCATACATGTGGCCACTGCTGTTTTGCCGGACTATCAGTCCCAATTGGCTCTCACCAGAAGAAATAAAAAATAAGTTATGGTTTTGGACTGCTTTCTTCCAAACTCTGAAATATAGTGCTGAAAGTATTGATAGTTAGGACAATATCTAAGTTCTAATCCCAAACAAGCACTGCTTGCATCCTCTGACTGGAATCTGAAGAAAAAGAACATGAAAATGCCTTTCCAATCTTTTGAAAACCACAGCTCTGAGAGAATTTATATATATACAATGTCAATCAAACAACAAAATGATGCTACATTTCATGTTGTGTGTTTCCTAGCTGATATCAATTTTGTAAACATAACAGTAATTTCCGACCCTCCATCCTGTCTACGAAAGAAGATCTGAAGAGCAGGACAAACAAAACATAAATGGGAGCTTTTTGTGCTAATGCAATAAAAATGAGCACTAGATCAGGAAACCAAATTATGTTCTTGCCTCACCAGAACTACTGAAACTATTTGTCCCTATTCATGTGCTTGCTTACAAACTAAAATTTTGGTGCATCCCTCATAGACATTACGGGAAAGATACAACAGCAACAACAATGAGCAAGAAGCACCATAATTTGCATGATATTGAAGTAAAAATCCGAACATGAATCAAAGCAATGTACTACCTCAAAAAAAGGAATCAACTAACCACAATTCATGGTTCAAATTGTAGTGCTGGGAGAAACTAAAAATAATTCCATGTGTGGGTTTAATGGTTGAAGCTACAGTAACAAATTGGTTTTCTACATGACTTTATTTGCCTACTGCACGAATACCAACTAGTAAAAGCAATTATACTCAAGTTCACATCATAGTGTTATACACACTTGCGAGATAATTATCTTAATAAACTAAAACCAAAATAGAAGAGGATGAAAACTTGCCTCTAAACTTCTGCCAGTAGGAAGCCAAGTCCATGCATTTCACAAACTTCAGTCAGGATAGGATGCTCTCACGTCATAGGGTTCATTGTACTCCAAAAAAGTACTACATGACTGTAACTGCTACTATCAGGAGAAAATATAAATTAAGGAAATAGCTTTCAGACATGTGCATAGATTATAACCTATAGAATAGCATCTCTCTAGGGCAAGAAATTGCCAGAAAACGCTGCTGGTAGCTCATTTTCTTTTGCACAACTAGTCGAAGATGCATTGACCAGAATAAAACATAGCAAATCCTTGAAAAGTGCTCTTTGCATTTCAAAAGAGTCATTAATATCACAACTTGCTGATCTGTCATTATCAGTAGAGCTTGATCCAGTCAAATAAGCTTGGAAAGCAAGATTTTTCCATTTTATTCAAATGCTACACTGAAATCATCCATATCACTATTTCTGATACATAATCTGAACTTGGTAAAAATCTTGATCCATCATGTAAAAAAGCCACATAAGCTTCATCGAGAAAGATTTCATTCTATTCAAGGTTTATATAGAGAAGCTATGCCAACCACATAACATCCAGTCTTCTATTTAATAAAGAACTAGATAATCAAAAGTCATACTTGTAAATAGTGGATATGCTACCATCTTATAGTGCCTTAGCTCCTAGATAATAGCCAATTTGCATAGCTCTTAAAAAAATAAGCATATCACTGAATCATATTTGGCCTATTTCTCCCTGAGCAAACACGCAGAGACAGAATTTTCCTACTAGGCAAGATGTGCTAAGCAGTTACTACCGCAAAACCATCTTGATTTCTTGTCAGCACCCAAGCATATTGATAGAGGCAAGCACTTATGGATGAGCTCATATAGAAAAATAACAGAACCGGAATTTATCCACATAAATCTCAGCTTGCTAATATAATTACTGCAGTCACTAATAAGTATAAAACTAAGTATCGCGAAGTACTACACTAGTGCTATATATATAAGCCAACAAGATGTAGCCAACAAATAAACAAAACCCTTGATTACAAATATAAATCCAGTAGGCTTGGCATGCATTCGTTCAATATTAAACAATCAGTTGAAAGATATTGTCATACTGAATTCACAAACATTAATAAAAGGGCCATAGTTATGAAGCCACAGATGTAGACAATTCCATAATCATTCCCTTGCCACCTTTATAAGGTTTGTAATAGCTTGTACAGAAAAACTCCCCTCAATTATCTGAATATATGCCTATCAAATCTTCCTAACTGTTAAATACATCTGTATCGGCAAGAAGAAATCAAGAAATTATTCATACGCCTTGGTAACAGTAGCACAAAGTAGTCCAGCAATGCCACAGTAAGTATGCATCTAATCATAGCCTAGTCTAGCTTACTCATATCACCATTCCGAATTTAGCTTTTCAGAAGTTGATGCCAAATCTTAACATTAAAAGCCCTCTTAAATCCATCTGGCAACTAAATATCTGATGGTAGGAACAAACTTCAATCTCCATGCGTTTTACTCCGCAATATCCAAAAAAATAAGGCTACGGTTAAAAAAAATTAGTCACGAGATCTAAACTAACAAATGACATGCCACATATAACAAAAGAAGGGGCAACTTTAAGGGGCAGAATATGCCAAATATAACTATTAGTCTCATAAATATGATATAGAAGTCCTAACACCAGCAAAAGTTAAACACAAGACATACTATATGTTTTGTTGTCTGGGCCAACAGCAATTTCTCAGAAGAATGCTGGTAGAGCTGCCTCAAACTGATAAAGCTAAGATTTCTAACCCTTTTATAGTGCAGATAATCAGCTGCATAAAGCGAACCCATGGTCGACTTAAGAGACAAGTCGAGAAAATTTTTCAGCGGTGCCCAAGATGGAACTTCTCAGATGCTCCCCATGATCCGGACCCCGTTCCATACAAGGGTGCCTTCTCAGGAACGCCCTGGTATTAATAAAGAAATATAAACACAAACTTGAAGTAAAGATCTCAACAACAGTGAACAGATATCAAAATGAAATCATACCAGATAAGTGTTGAACCCATCCCCATATGGAAGGAAGGGTGCATTGGCACTGCCCACTTTCATCCCATAACCTCCACCTTCAACAGTAGATTGACAGAAAATAAGGGTTAAGACTAAAGTGAAATAACTGACCGCCACCAATAGTTCGTGATCAATAATTGACAATCATCACAAACGAAAGGTTGTAGAACAAAGAGCAAGCTTGAAATAAAAATAAAATAAAACATAAAAAGCTGATAGTACAAAATAATGGAACTTCTCAGATGCTCCCCATGATCCGGACCCCGTTCCATACAAGGGTGCCTTCTCAGGAACGCCCTGGTATTAATAAAGAAATATAAACACAAACTTGAAGTAAAGATCTCAACAACAGTGAACAGATATCAAAATGAAATCATACCAGATAAGTGTTGAACCCATCCCCATATGGAAGGAAGGGTGCATTGGCACTGCCCACTTTCATCCCATAACCTCCACCTTCAACAGTAGATTGACAGAAAATAAGGGTTAAGACTAAAGTGAAATAACTGACCGCCACCAATAGTTCGTGATCAATAATTGACAATCATCACAAACGAAAGGTTGTAGAACAAAGAGCAAGCTTGAAATAAAAATAAAATAAAACATAAAAAGCTGATAGTACAAAATATGAAGACTCATAAAATGAAGAGACAGCTAGAGTGTATCTTGACTTAAGCACATGAAACAGTTTGAATCCAGCATAGGCATGTAAAGTGCAAAGTTATCCAACATGACAGAAAGTTAACCTGAATGGCATAGTACACAGCTTTAAATACTCAAATGACAATAAAGATCCAATAAACCACTAGGACAACAGTTGTATGCCCTTAATTACCAAACCTCGCCAATCAATTAATAAAGATGATGATTATGACCAAAACATATAGCCCATTAGCAGGGAAAAAGGTAAATCAAGAACAATATAATGATCAATGCAAATGAAATAGAGCAAACAGCAAAAGTCAAACCAGCATGCTCAACATAATAAACTTCTCTATTAACCAAAAACGCTAATGACTTGGATACTTACCCACACCCCATGGTCTATTGTTACTGTTTGCTAAATCAGCACGCAACTTTTCAACTTCGCGTGCCATAGAAACCAAGTTTTTCTCCATTGCCTGTCTTTGTTCCAGCAGCTCAGCATTCCCCCTTTTCTCGTACTCATAGGCAGCCCTAACAAGGGGAAAATAATTAAGATTAAAAATATAGTAACGTGCCTGAGCACCATTATGCATGTGATGTAGGTACAAGAAATGAGGAAAATATCATGGGAAAGTAAACAGTTTTTTATGGATATAACCTTGCACGCACGAGCTCCTGCTTCATACCATCAATCTCAGACCTCATAGCAGGAACGCGTTTGTTATCCGCTTGTGCCCTTGTCAGCTCTTGTGTGAGATTCTGAGCCTGGCCAGCAAGTTCTTGCCTCACAGTATTCAGCTTCTGAACTTCTGCACGAAGCTGTATCAACTCATTTCTTAATGGCTCAGTAGCTCTCAGATCAGCTTCTAGCTTCATGCCTTTCTCAATCAGCTCCCTGATATGGGCTTCATTTTCAGCATGGATTTCTTTAATAGCCATAGACCTCCTATGAATTTCGTCCTTTGCAGCACCCAGATCCCGCTGAAGCATCATGCGTTCCTCAGCAAGCCTATGGTTGTCAGCTACAATCCTATGGATTTCATGCTGTTGCACGTCAAGTTCTTCAAGCAGCACAGGGTGAGGTTGGCCACGAACAAATGGCCCTTCACGATAATGATGCCTTCCACCATCAAAAGGTTGGTGAGGCATGTGCCCTCTTCCAGCCATCATGCGTTTTTTTCTGTAAAAGGGGGGAATAAGAAAACTGTCAGAAATCTCAGACATATTATTAAAATGAAACCACCTCGTAATTATAAAACAATAAAAATCAATAAGGAAGCACATACTAGCAAGTATAGGTGACACCTCTAAGCATAGGACCGACAATTGTGCACTCAAAGTTACATTAGAGCACAACAATTTTCCTCAAGATGGCTTGAAATATACGAAGAAATAAGTAAAGAATATATTATGAATTGCTGAGAATTAGCATTTCAACATAAATCTAAATCGACAAAAATTTCAAGGACGTCTCTCCTTTCTAAGAGCATCTCCAACCGGTAGCTAAAACGTCAAGATGATGCAAAAACCGCTTCAAATCATCCTCCAACCGAACTCTATCCTCTGCGCCATTTTGGGGGAGAGTTACAGTGCTGCGCCAGATTTGGCGCAGCACTGTAGCTTTGGCGCAGTTGCATTTTTTTTTCTATTTTTTACCTTTTTTTTTTACATAGAGTTTATTATTTTGTTGATGGTTTGTAATGTTTCTCTTTTTATTCATGATCAAAATATTACATTGTAGCTTTTATTTTTTTTAATTATTTTGATATGAACTATTATAATAAAATTAGAGTATAAAATAATTATTAAAAATAAAATCCAACAATGGAAAAAAATAGATAGTTTAATCCAAACACTTAAAATTTCATAATACTAGAACCAAATAGAACATTGAACATAAACTAAAACAACATTGAAAATTAACACTAATTGCAATACATTAAAATTAAAGAAAAATAGAACATTGAACATAAACTAAAACAACATTTTAGTATTCTGGGAAATTATCATCAGAAGGACGAAGATGCTCGAAATATTGGGCAAAAGTGCCAGAACCGGTATTTTAAGATCCTTCACCTTGTTTAGTTCTTTTATGCATAATTCTTGATTGTTCTTGTACAAGAAACTCATGTAGCTTTGGATCAGTTACTTGTGTCAAATCTTTCAATAAAATTAAATTTCCTTCTCGTAATTCTTCCACGTCCACTTTTTTTGCCGCAGTTTGAGCTCGTAGCATTTGGATTTCATAATTTAGTTGCCTATCAGCATTATTTTTTTCCATCATTACAACAATTTTTTGATTCTCTTCTTTCATATACTCCATAAACTTATTAGAACTTTCTTCATCATTTCTCTTTTTAAATTTTACTTTCCGTACCCTATAGGTCTTTCAGTTGAAGTACCACCAAAATCATTGTCATTCATATTAAAATCGAATGAAGCCAGTCCAGGAGATGCTGGTGTGGGAGAGTCTGAAGTGGGAGAGTACTCTGATTGTGATGCTGCAAAGTTACCATATTGCATACGTCCTACTTGAATTCCAACATTAACATCTGCAAATTTTTTGATATCTTTTAAGATGGGCCATACATGATCGAATTTGAATCCCTTCTTATAATTCTTATCCTGAGCAAACAACACTTTAGCCCGATTGAACTGTAAAATGATATAAATATATAAAATTAAAATTCAATCATAAATTAAATCTCAAAAATATTTGTAACAAATAACACTTACAATATCTTGTTCAGAAGCACCACTTGGATTTAAATTTTCAACCTGTCTTACACATCCCCTCATTTTGCCAATAGCAGTTAGGAGAGTTTGCATTCGACATTGCAAAGATCTTCTGGGTCGACCTTGAGTGATAAAAGCAGGCATTGAGCTATGATAATCACTCTCAACTCGAGACCAAAATTGATCCTTAGATTGGTTTATACCTATGATCGGATTTTGGGAAATGTCAAGATATACATGGCAGATGTGTGAGTCTTCAGCATTTGTGTATGAAGAACTTCGTTGATTTAAAGCCATCTATAACACAAATGAAGAAGATATATGTTTCTTGAAGTATGATATGTTATTTATAGATGAAAAATGAAAGTGACAATATTTCAAAGAAAAGACACTTCAATGACAACATATCAACTTCAAACACTTCATGAAAGACACACCAATGACAACAAATCAACTTCAAACACTTCATGACAACATTTCAAAGAAAAGACACATCAATGACAACATATCAACTTCAAATACTTCATGATAACATTTCAAAGAAAAGACACCTCAAATGACAACATATTAACTTCAAACACTTCATGACAACATTTCAAAGAAAAGACACATCAATGACAACATATCAACTTCTAGCACTTCATGAAAGACACATCAATGACAACATATCAACTTCAAACACTTCATGATAACATTTCAAAGAAAAGACACATCAATGACAACATATCAATTTCTAGCACTTCATGACAACTCTTCATGACAACATTTCAACTTCTAAAACACTTCTCGTTTATCTTCTCCATCTATTATAAAAGCTCATATTGATGAGTTTGCTAAAATCATAAACCTCTATTTTCAAAAATGAATTTTAACAATAGAGATCCTTCTAATTTGTCATCATTATTTTCTGATAATGAAATTAAAGATGAACAATTGATAGATGATATTGAAGCGATTGATGCAGAAAGGGAAGCGATGTTTCGCATCAGAAACAACAACCACCTTCTCATGGCTTACTATATCAATCAACAAAACAACCAAGTAATCCGTGGAGGCTCAATTCCTGGTCATATAGTGATCAATCGTGATCGAGAAAATGCTGATCGTAATCTGTTCAACGACTACTTCTCTGAGAATCCGCGATATAATGATTCGATGTTCCGCCGACGATTTCGAATGTCTCAAGATTTATTCCTTCGCATTGTTAACGCCATAAAAGCTCACGACACTTACTTTATACAGCAAAGGGATGGGGTCGGTAAACTTGGATTGTCTACGCTTTAAAAAATTACAGCTGTGTTCCGCATGTTGGCATATGGTCTACCAGCGGATGCCACCGATGAATACATTAAAATAGGAGAGTCGACAGCAATCGAAAGTTTTAAGAGATTTTGTCGTGCTGTTGTGGAGGTTTTTGCAGAACAATATCTGAGATCGCCTAACGCTAATGACATTGCCAGACTACTACATATTGCTAAACAACAAGGTTTTCCAGGAATGTTGGGCAGTCTAGATTGCATGCATTGAAAATAAAAAAATTGTCCAACGGCTTGGACGAGCCAATACGCAGGTCATAGTGGATCCCCAACTATTATTCCGAAGGCCATAGCTGATTATGATCTTTGGATATGGCATGCATATTTTGGTTTATCAGGTTCCGATAATGACATTAATGTTTTAGAGGCATCTCATCTTTTTGCAAAACTCGCTGAAGGTATTGCTCCTCCTGCTCATTATGTCATTCAAGGTAAACATTATAACATGGGTTACTATTTAGCTAATGGTATATATCCAAAATGATCTACTCTTGTACAAACAATTCATGATCCACGTGGTCCAAAAAAAAGTTGTTTGCAATGAAGCAAGAAGGATGCAGAAAAGATGTAGAACGTGCATTCGGAGTACTCCAATCTCGATTTGCAATTGTGTCAGGACCAGCTCGTTTTTGGAAAAAAGAAGTATTACATGATATAATGACTACGTGCATTATTATGCACAACATGATAATTGAGGATGAACGTGATCTTAATGCTATAATTGAAAATTAGAAGGAAGCGCCAGTTCCGGACATAGAGATGGTTGCAGATGAAAATGCTCGGTTTGAAGGATTTCTGGCTCGTCATCGACAAATCAAGAATAAAGAAGCTCATATTGCACTTCGAGATGCATTAATTGATCATTTGTGGGATGAATATACTAATTTGGAGACTTAGAATTTTATTAATATGGACCGTGTCTTTGTGTTTTATTTTATGTTAAATGTAATGCCTTTTATTTTTATTTTTTTTGCTTGCAAGTGTGATGTTTTCTTTTGTGATGTTAAGTGTAATCTTTAGTTGAATTTATATAAGTAATATTTTAATTTGATTTAGCATTTAATTTTTATATTTTTATTTTATTCATAAAATATATTATTATAATTAATTATATGTATTATATAATTATATAGTTATATAATTTGTTAAATATTTTAAATAGATAAAAATATTAAAAGATAAGAATAATAAAAAGAATATTCTTTTTGGTGTAAGATTTGGTGTAATGGGTTGGAGATGGAATAGTGATTTGGTGTAAAAACTACACCGTGTAAAAAATACACCATTTTGAGTTTTATGGTTGGAGATGCTCTAAGGGCTTGAAAAGTAGACAAAATTCTGTAAGCTTTTCATGAAATGATATAATTATCATACACATCTTGGCTGTCAATCAACATTAACGATATACAGAACCAAAAAACAAAATTAATCATAAAAAAACCGAGGGACCCTTTTCCCCTTTTTTCTCTTTTTTTTTCTTTTTTGTATACTACTGGCTCTCCACACCGCAAAATCAGCACATCAATTAATCAGAAAACAGAGTAAAATTGTGGCAAATTAACAATTCCACTCAATGGACCCGTAGCAGGAGAACCAAGAAACTCCATTATAATAATAATTATTATTATTAATTCTTTTTTGGGTTTTCTTGATTCATCGGATCATAGTCAAAACCTACCAGTTATTGGTAGAATTTACAGCAAAATTTTCACGAAACCGGTGCCCATTTCGTGGGGATGAAAGGAATTAATAACAAAAGAGCCTATGGTTTTTTTTCTCAGCGCATGGATCAGAAATTTAAGCCGAAAAGAGAGAGAGAGGGAGAGAATCACGAGAGGAAACCTGGAGAGAGAACGACGAGGAGATAAACGGCGGCGGAAGAATTAGGGCTGGGTTCGACGGCCGAAAACCTCTGACATTTTGATTTTCTTCCCGCAATTTGCTCCTTTTTTTGTTTTTCCTATTTTCATTATTATTATATATGGTAACTTGTCAGTAATAAGTAGGGTAAGTTACAAGAAACCCCTCCAACTATGCTCCGTTCAACAAAACACGCCTAATCTATTGTACTCTTTTCGTCCACAAAGAATAATAAAAGGTTAAAAAATAGAAGATAACCATAAAAGATAATAAATCATACTTCCTTTAAAAGCACGAGTTCGAAAAAAAATTTCGGTAGACAAAAATACCCTTGAAATTCAAATATTATTCCTTTAATCGTGATCTCAGTTATTCTATAATTGATTCCTCAGTTTTATCACTTGATCGGGCCCTGTTGTACGTGGGCCGTAAATTAACTAGACCCATCTGTGGAGTGAGGGTAAATTGTTCGTCGGAGCGTCCAATACGCTTGAGCTAAATCAAGCTCATAACAACAAAACCTACAATTGACTCAACGCTGCCTCATTTCAATTTTTAGCTAATTCTACACACACACAGATGTTTGACCTCCTTTGGGTTGTTGTTCACTAGTATGTTGGTGCACGTGGAAGAGTGTTGGAAGAGTGTTGTAGTCGAATTGTCAAGGGAAATGTGGAAGAGTGTGCCATAGTCGAATTGTCAAAGGACGGGATGATATACTTGATTCTTTGGATTTCTTTTTCAAGTGTGAGGGTCTTGTTTTTAAAGTTTATTATAAATGTGAGGGTATTTTTGGCATTATAAAACTGTGGCTCGCATAAAACAAAAGGGAGGCTTCTTTTAATATATTGTACAGATAAATAGATATTATTGACCAACCATGTGCATGAAGAATGTTACAATTTATTTTCATTTTAGTTGAGTGTCACTCTCCATGTGTATGTCAATATTCAGTAGATGTATCTCCTGATAAATTATTTGTTTAGCTTCATGCATGGGTGTACAAAGTCTATGGCAGTCTTCACATGATTGAACAGTGTCAACAAAATCTCCTAACTGATGCCATATATCCATAACGATTACCTATCAATTTCTGTTCATAGAGGAAAAAAATGAATAATATGTGCCCTCGTAGATAAATATCCATTATCTTTATTATTGTGCTTTAGCCTAACCTACATTTGCCCCTTGGAAGAGGAAAGTGTAGATAAATATCCTTTTGATGATAAACTGTCACAATGCATTTCATTAAATTACTATGATCAATCAACAACTTCTCAAAGCAGCCACTGAGATATTATGATGACTACCTCACCCTTTCCTTCTATGTTTGTTTACTCTTTGCGTAAAAGTTGAATCCTTTCCTTTGTTCCTTTAATTTTCCCCTGATTAGATATCCTTTGAGCTAATCATTCAGCATTAGTTTTTGGATTCGAGTTTATCTCTTCGGTACATGAAACATTTGCCGCAGAGGAGATTGGAAAAGCCATGTGTAGTCCACTAGGGACAAATCACTTCGTTCATGAGATGAAGGAAAAGAATGAAAAGATTTGTTCCTTTGCTGTCCTCGATATTAAGCTGTCCTCCTGTGTAAACATCGCCTTTTCCCTGGTCAAAGATAAATGCATGGAGTCTTGTTGACGTCTACATATATGCATAAATTAACAAGAGTTCATCATCGTGCTAGCTGTAGGAATTCTTTTTTCTTTCAGGCCGGGAGTCTTTTCTTTGTTTAATCGGCTCCTTTTCTCTTTACGGAAGATTTTATGGCTATGGACGTACACTACTTTAAGAAAACAGTCCTGCTCTCACCACTGAAGCAACATCTAGATTAGGCCTCAATGATGCTTTGAAAGTAAATAGAGCAAGCATTAGAGAGAAGGTTGTTTTATTCTATTTTGTAAAGCAACAACTTATACATGATTAGAGTATTTGGTATCCAATAATTTTTGAGTTTTCAGCCTATTCCCACAAAGCTAAGGGAAAGGAAATAGCTCTAAAGCTCGCTTTAATGGCTTTAATGGCCATTGACTGAACATAAAGACTCAGCCCGTGAGCTAGTGCTATATTAATCTTTTGACCAGAGAAATTTGATAATAGAGTTGAAGAGAGCCAGAGTTGGCACTAGATATCTATGGTTGTATGAAAAGTATGTATGAAGGAAGAAGGAAAGACGTACGACGAAAGATACACAAAAGTGTTTGTTAAGATGGCACTAGAAATGGGAAAGGCAAATAAAGGAGAGGAACCAAAAGGAACCATACTTAAAATTTCACCTTGTATGTGTTAAAAGTTTTAAGTGCCGTGTGGGCAAGAGGTAATAGGAATTTTGAGAGAGAGAAATTGAATCAGGAAAAAAGCATCTTTCTTCATTAACCTCTTAGGCTTATATAATGTGTTACATTTTACATCCAAGCCATTATCTTTCTATAAACTACATATTTCAACACTCCCCCTCAAGATGGTCAAAAGATATCCATCAAGCCCATCTTGTCACATAACCTAGCTAGATCTATTGAGCTAAGTCCTTTGATGAGGCAATCAGCTACTTGATCTTTAGTAGCTACATGACTTAGCTCCAATAGCCCACTATTCAGCTTTTCTTTTATGAAGAACCTATCAATCTCCACGTGCTTGGTTCTGTCATGTTGCACCGGATTGTTGGCAATGCTGATTGCGGACTTGTTGTCACACCACAACTTCATTTGAGAACCTTGGTACATCTTGAGCTCTCCCAATAGAGTCTTCAACCATAACATCTCGGCAACTCCTAAGGCCATGGCCCTATACTCTGCTTCTGCCGTAGATCTCGCAACAACAGACTGCTTCTTGCTCTTCCAAGAGACCAAGTTGCCCCCTACAAACATGCAGTAACCCGATGTGGACTTCCTGTCATCGGCACAACTAGCCCAATCAGAGTCACAATAGCTCTCAATGTTCAAGTGCTCATTCTGCCTGAATATCAATCCCTTCCCAGGTGCACTCTTCAGGTACCTCAAGATCTGATACACTGCATCCATATGGCTCTTCCTAGGGTCATGCATGTAGCGGCTCACCACGCTCACTGCAAATGAAATATCGGGACGCGTATGACTCATATAGATCAATCTACCTACCAGTCTCTAGTACCTCTCTCGGTCGACCTGTTCTCCTGCCTCTGCACTCAACTTGGACTTCTGATCAATTGGAGAAGCAGCAGGCTTGCACCCCAACATCCCTATTTCTGTGAGCAAGTCTAAGACATATTTCCTTTGAGATAGGACAATCCCCTCTGCTCCACGAGCCACCTCAATCCCAAGGAAATATCTAAGCTGTCCCAAATCCTTTACGTCGAACTCCTTCCCCAACTTTGCCTTCAGCTGTGCAATTTCCCCTTCATCATCTCCAGTAATGATCATGTCATCTACGTACACAGCAAGCATGATAATGTGGCCACCCTGTTGCCGATAAAACACCGTGTGGTCGGCATTGATCTGCTTGTAGCCTAGGCACACCATGGCCTTTCTGAATCTATCAAACCATGCACGAGGAGACTGTTTCAGCCCATACAGCGACTTCTTGAGCCTGCACACCTTACCAACCGTCTGGTTTGTGCCAAAACCCGGTGGGACCTCCATATACACCTCCTCCAACAAATCACCATGAAGGAAAGCGTTCTTCACATCAAGTTGGTGTAACTTCCACCCACCATTCGCTGCTAGGGAAATCAGTGTCCTTACTGTGCTCATCTTTGCCACGAGTGCAAAAGTCTCATCATAATCAATACCATAGGTCTGACTGTACCCCTTTACCACCAACCGAGCCTTGTAGCGCTCAATCAGACCCTCTGGATTCTGTTTCACTGTGAAGACCCACTTGCATCCGACAGCCTTCTTGCCTGGTGGTAGTAACACAAGCTCCCAAGTGTTGTTTTTGTCGAGGGCACCGAGCTCTTCTAGCATGGCTGCCTTCCACTTCGGATCTCCCTTAGCAACCTGCCAACACTTAGGGATAGAGACAGTGTCTAATGATGCAATGAATGCTCCATGTACAGGTGATATATGTGAGTAAGAGACAAACTGAGCAATATCATGTGAGAAACCATATCGGTCAGGAGAGAAACCATATCGGTCAGGAGGAATACGCGCATTCCCGCGAGTAGTCCGCCTTACCAATAGGGGGTGGAAGGAGTAGAGGGAGGAATCATATCACCTGTGTATTCTGAGTCTGAAGTGGATGGTGTAGGTGTCTCAAGAGTCGGAGAAGGCAGAGACAAGGGACTTGGCACTGGTGGTACTGTGGGCACGGCTCCCTCAATCTGCTTATTTCTCCTCACATACACCTCACAGTATCTCGACTCCCCCTGAGTCAGAGTTCTACCACATTCGAGCTCATTCCTCTCCACTTCCGGCTCAACCCTAGCTGATTCCTCCTTTTCCGGCTCAACCACAGCCAAAATCTCAAGTGGGCAAGAAATACCACCCACACTCACCATCCTCCTACTCTCCCCCTCTCGCCTCATACCTTCTGTATCGGGCAAGTCTCCAAAGGGTGATGTAACCTTTGAGTAGTATGGTTCGAACTCGCGAAATGTAACATCCATACTCACAAACAGTCTCCTCTCCACAGGACTCCAGCACACATACCCCTTTTTAGTAGCTGAGTACCCCACAAAGATACACTTCACAGCCCTCGGATCTAGTTTTCCCACATTTGGTTTGTTGTCCTGCACGAAGCACACACACCCAAAGTTTTTGAGAGGAAGAATATCTCTATTCTTACCTTTCAACATCTCAATCGGAGACTTCCAGTCTAACACCCGTGATGGCATCCGGTTGATCAAATAGGCGGCTGTCAGAACTGCTTGCCCCCACAAGTACTTTGGGACTTTCATCGAAATCATCATACTCCGAGTCACCTCAAGGAGATGTCTGTTCTTTCTTTCTGCTACCCCATTCTGCTCTGGTGTGTATGTACATGTGGTTTGATGATGTATCCCCTGAGATGACAAGTACTCCCCAAACATCCTGTTGGTGTATTCTGTCCCATTATCAGACCTTAATACTTTCACAACTGCACCATATTGAGTCTGAACTCCTTTATGGAAGTCCTTGAAGCAAGCAAACACATCACTTTTGTTTTTCATCAAATAAAGCCACGTCACACAAGAAAAACAATCAATAAAAGAGACAAAATATCTAAATCCATTCACAGCAGTTGTGGGACAAGGCCCCCATACATCAGAGTGAATCAAATCAAAAACACTAGAACTCCTACTACCAGAACTAACATAAGAGCTCCTAGTGTGATTTCCCAACTCACACGCATCACACACGAGTTTTTCCTTATTAGCCTTTTCAAACAAAGACGAATACAACCTACTCAAAACCGGAAAAGAAGGATGACCCAAGCGCCTATGATGGAGCAGCAACAAGTCCTCCACACTCCTCCCAGCTCCTCCAGCTCCCTCCACAATAGATGAGAGGGCCAAATCCATACCCTCTTTATCTAGGTACCACAAACCACTATGCCATGTGCCAGTCCCAAGTTGCCTATCTGTCCCCTTCTCTTGGAAGATCACCTTAGGAATATCAAACAAAACGACACATTTTAGTTGTGATATAATGGCACTTATGGATAAGAGATTTACAGGAAAAGAAGGAGCATGCAAGACATTAGACAAAGTCAAAGTGTTGGTACATTGCACTGTGCCCTTACCAACCACGGGCTGGGCCGTACCATCAGCTGTCTGAATGCTCTCTGGTACTGCTAGGTGAGTATAGGAAGAAAACTCCCTAGCAGCATTAGTCACATGACGAGATGCACCAGAATCGACTATCTAATCTGGTGATCTAGTGATGGATATAGAAGCAAGAGCAAGTGTATCACAAGTACCTATGGCTGAGTGAGCAAAGGAAGCAAAGTTACCCTTGGATAAAGACGAGGTGGATGCATCATCTACCCCACTCTTCCCCTCACCTGCTGCTTTCTGCTTTCTCTTTAATGCCTCCAAAAACTCATGATCCTCCTCGGTAAAGACCACAGTCTCCTCACTCTCTCCATATGCTACCGTCAGATGTGCTTGGTAGCCTCCTCTTCCACCTCTCCTACCACCTCTGCCTCGACCACGACCCCCTGCATGCCCCCTTCCACCTGTATCTCGCTCCTTTGGTAGCTTAGGGCAAGCTTGCTTCAGGTGACCTACCTCACTACAGTTGTAGCACTGTCGGGTCTCGCCCCTGTACCCTGTGGTACCTGAGTTGGAGACTGCAAGTGCTGACTTCACCCCTGGGAGTCCAGCTGCCCCAGCCTGGAGCCTAATCCGGCTCTCCTCCTGTATCATGGCTGAGACCGCTTCCTCAAGTGAGGGAATCCTCGTCTGAGCCAGTAGCATAGCAACCCTCTGTTCAAACACCGGGGCCAGACCCTAGAGGAACACCATAACCCTATCCTCCATCTCAATCTCAGAACATATAGGATCAGTGCAGCATCGTCGTCGGACCCTAAAGTGGCCCTGATCCAGCCATAAGCGATCCAGTTCTATAGCATACTCCTGCACAGTCTTCTCCCCCTGTACCAAAGCCGAGATCTCCCTCTTGATCTGGTACACCCGCAGGTTGTTCCCAGCACCATCGTAGGTCCTCCTCAGCTTTTCCCAGACATCATGTACCTTCGCTATGCCATCCACTGTGGACGCAATACCCGAAGTCAGTGAGCTCAGGAGCCAAATATATACCTGCATGTGAGTTGACTTCCACTCAGCTCTCTCAGGTGCATTCTGACTCGGCTCCTCCTTCTCTCCAGTCAAGTACCCCTCCAGACCCTTCCCTTCCAGAGTGTACCTCACCCGACGTGACCAGCTTAGATAAGTGGCTGGACCCTCGAGTTTCATATCAATCGGTGGCAACTCAATCTTCTGCTTTGGCTTGCTCTCACTCGCTGACATCTTGAATGCTCGCATCAGAACCACGACATCATCAGGATTCAGCTTTGACATCACCTCGGCCAGAGGATTTGTGCTGCCACTCCCCTCCTCCTTCTCGGTCGTCACTGATCTGACTCCGATCTACGCCTCGAGTATCGATCTAAGTCTAGATCCACATCACCTCTAACCTCTTCATCTTCCTTCTAACCCGATCTAGATCTTATCTCATCAAGATTCGAGTTAAAAAAAAACTACAGAACCCGATCAATAACCCAATCCAAACCCGCTTCTCAGGTATCGTGGGTGGAGGCCGGACGATCTGTCCCTAAATTTCTAGGGTTTTAAGAATCCCAAAAAACACTCTCAAATCAAAACCCTAACCTGGTGGTGGAGGCAGTTGAACAGTGTTGATGGCCGGAGACTGAAGCAGTGGTGGCCGGAGACTAATGGTGATGGCTGACTGATGGCGGCGGCTGAAGAAGCAGTGGTGGCCGGAGACAAGGACTGATGGCGGCGACGGTGGAGAAGAAGTGTCGATGGCCTTTGTCTCAGCGGTGGAGAAGATCTAGGGCATCCTCAGTGGCGGCGGTGCTGGCCGGAGACGCAGCGGCGCCTAGTTATGCAACATATTGGAAACTAGATAGCATAAGGATTATCCAAACTCAAAAAAGACTAACAAGCTTCTAACATACAACTACACTAGTTGTAATTAATTATTTTATAAAATAACTTGAATTAATTAACTAGTTTCATGTAAACTAGAAATTAGAAGCAAGAACAAGGTCCTCCATGAGTTAGATGTACATGTTAAGATTCAATTAGATAGAACCATAGCTCTGATACCATGAAGGAAATCGTGCTATGTCTACATGCATAATACACAGCGGAAGACATGTATGTACAAAAATACTAAGCATGTAGAGAGCATGAAATATTCATATGGATCGTCTAATTAAATCTAACATGATCCTTATTATTAAGTGAGCATACAAGAGTTAGAAAGTCATACTTTCGTAGCGTGATTCGATGGAAGATCGAATAACCCCTAGCTCTTGCTCCTTGTAGTAGAAAATCTCCTTGTAGTGGATCTCCAAGTCTTCAAGTGAGCTTGATAAAATGGGAGTCTTCTTAAGACACAAGGCAAGATATCCACCCCGGGGTTCTTAAAATCCTACTACTTCCTCTTGCTCAAAGATTGCTAAAGTTTAGTAAGAGGAGAGCTCTCTTTTATTCTCTTATGGAAAAAACACTTAGCCAATTTTTCATTAACCTTTCCATAAGAAAAAGAGCTCATATTTATAGAGTGAAATGTGTTCATGATATGAATGACTCATCCTATGAGTCATGCAATGAATCATCAAAAATTAATGATTAATCAAGTGAGTCATGCAATGAATCATCTTATGAATCATTACATTTCAAAACCATGTGCTAATAAACCATGTGCTCAAACCATACCACTAAGTGACTCATCTCATGACTCATTATACATGGTATGTGTATTTCATAAATGAGAATACCAAATTATTATCACTAATACAGTATTTCATAAATACGGTATATAGTATTATTCCAATCTTTAACTAATTAGTCACTATATGACCAAATAAATCAAGAGTTGACCAAAAGTCAACTGTTGACCAAAAAGTCAACTAGTTGACTAAAAGTTAACTTTATGGGAAAAATACTGGAATTCATTTCCTAAGCACATAGCATTCCGATTTTACCGATATACATAACCGTTTATGTGTATCCGGAAGAAATCATATATGCGTATCAATCATACGCATCACTCCATAAATTGTGTTTCATAGGATTCAAGTACGCGCTTGGTGTGACTCTAGGGCCCAACTTAAAAAACTCGGTAGTGGATCATATCCATAAGTACAACAGAGGTGCTAGCTACACATGAAGACCACCCGGGTATAAGTTGTGATAAAGGTCTGCAAGATGCTTATCCAATTTTATCAGGACCACTCAATGATAATACCGTACAGTCCGGTCTCTTCGTCAAACCATGTCAAACTATTGAGCCTAGGGTATGGCAAACTGTCAAACCCTAATAGCTTGATTAGTGTTTATTGATATTAAACTCATAACCTATAAGATTAAACTGACACTCAGTTTATCTTATTCACCTTGGCCAAGGATTTCCAGGCTATAGTTATATCAAACAATCTTATGACAACAACCCCTATACTGGGAGAGACAAATCCCTTCTTGGCATCTCAATATCTACTTATGTCTCGGGATGTACCCAACAAGAACCGTTATGCACAATTCAATAAGAACCGTGGTTAGGTAAAAGTCTAAATATATCTTTACTGACATATAAGATATTGCACTCATGCCTCAGGTCAAGAGACTACTATGTACTATTTCACTTGAGAACTTCTATTTGACAGTTAAGTATATTACCAACTAGATGTTCTCGGCGAGTCGTTCAGTCAACTCATTCACTAATGAGTCACATGTATACTGTATCTTGATGTCTCACATCAATGATCTAAGAGATTGATCATCTCCTTCAAAAGGAGAAATAAAGCATACACTAGTCTAAACCAAAGTGATGATGTCCTATCTCAACACTTCATCAACTAGGAACATTTTAGAATATATGTTACCGACTAATCAGATCTCTTCATTACGATCACTATCCGAAATGTCTGATAGTCTAGTATTTATTCTAAGGACATTATCTGTATATTTATAACATCAGATAAATTTGACCAAAATAGCATACTATCATTTTGAACAAGGATGTTATATACATATAGGTCCTGTTACAATATACAATAATTGCCTGCAGGGCACCTATATCTAACATGCAGTTAGCATCATGCCACTCCGATTGATGTATCATCTCAGGATTCTTGCCAACAAGTTAGCTTTCACGGGGACTGTTATCTATGGATTCAACACTAGTGGATCCAGGCCATTGGGTAAAATCCGAGTGAAGTACCAGCTTAGAGATTTGAAGTCCAAAGTTATATGTTACGTGATTGATGCAGAGACTTCTTACAACTTGCTATTGGGTCAACCTTGGATCTTTAGCAACATTATAGTTCCTTCCACCCTCCATCAGTGTCTAAAGTATGTGGACACAAATAATAAGGTCAAGATGGTGGTCGTAGACAAGCAACCATTTAAGGGGTTAGAAAATTATTTTACTGACTCCCTTCTATATGGTGCTGAATCCGATACTGAACCATCATCCTTAGGGACGGACAATAGAGAAGAAGCTGATACCGAAACCAGGCTTGATTATGATGAAGGTCTTGTATTTAATGACATTAAACCTCTTGTAAATTGATCATGATGGTGGCGAATCGTCAAATGAAAGTTGTAACTGGCAACTTGCCGATTATGAAATAAAGGACAATTTAGAATACTCGCTTTGCCTTAATGATGTAATGCAGGAACTATATGATAGCCCTGACATACACATGTCGCTTCAGTCATCTTGCATGACAAAGAAGCTCGTCCAAGACTCCTTCGAAACAACCCTCGTCTTACCTGCAAAGGTAGGGGGTGGAAAAGAAATAATATTTTGTAAAGTGGAGTCATCCCCGCCCTCCAATCTCTTCCTGAAAATCAATGCCGATGATGAAGGACCTGATTGGCATTTTTTTAGATACTGCTCACAAGAACATGACTTAATGAATAAGTAAGGATACAACCTCACGTTCGGTGAAGGTCTTCATTTTGGTCAAGGTATCCGAGTTCCACCCCACTCTGCCTATGTACCAAAAGGGAAGCCCGACAATTATTACGGACATAAAAGGGGTCTAGACTATGTTTCTTATCTGACGACAAATGTTGCAATGTCTACAAGATTTCATTATTTGCCTGAAAACCATAGCAAAAGTAGTAGTAGGGTGGATCACTCACATAAGCTCCTCCTAAATATCCTCCCCTAACTCCTCTACAATTTGACCATCCAAAAGATTATTCATCACTGTAACAAGCTGCATCGTCTGCTGAGTGCAATCCTTCTACGGCATGTAAGAGGTTACCCTCGAGGGCATCATCGATGGTGTCAAGGTCATCAGAGGCTGGAATGGTGTAGACAACCTCTGAGATTCCACTCCCATCCATCTAGTCCTTCCCTTCTGGGAAATCCACAAACCAAATGGCTCACTTGGCAATTATTCTCTCTAGTCAAGGGCTCATAGCTCTGTGCAACAACCTCAACATACTTGTCTTCCAATGCTTCCTAAGAGACAAAAAAGTTCAATATAAGAATTAGCATTTTAATAACAAACATAATATAAACATTCAAGATTACTTTTAGTATTATGTAATTCATTCATAAAAGTAAATTACTTGCATATTCTCAACATCTTGTAGCTTTTTCTTCTTCTCATCAGTGACATCATACCCCTTCTTAAAGTAAACCATAGTCCTCTTATGCAATTCGGAGAGTGGGATAAAGGGAGCATTTAGAGGTCTGCAAATTTGTTTATTAGTTTTATTTATCAAATAAATTACAATTAAAGAGAATATATATAGAAGACTAAAATATTTTATACTGTCATCCTAAAAAATTGATTCTCAATTTGGGCAAATTAAGTAGTGCCCATATGGTGACCATAATCGATTCTGTTAATTTCTCTCATATTTTTTCTTCAACAAGAACAAAGAGAATTTTAGTATAATCTATAATGTACAACAAAATATACCACTAAATTCAAATAGATAAGTTGAATCCAGTTTCTATTAATATGATAGGCATTTGCGAAATAATAACTTATTTGTGGTTATTTAGCTTTATAAGTATAAGCTCAATTTAGTTATTCAAATGACATCTAACTAATCATCTATGCTAGCTTAAGGCTTTTGGTTTACTTAAAAACTATGCATTTATACATATTTACCCGGTGCTACTTCTGGCCCCATAATAATATAAATGCCGCAAAATGAGCTGGGTCAATCCTCGGATACCTTGTGTAAATCCTCTTCAGGTTCACACTGTAACTTTCAAAGAATTTGTTTTTTTATCTCATGTCCCCACTCCTGAACGGCATGCTTGAACATTCCCATGTATCTAAAAAATCCTAGTCTACTGATTG